CCATCCATCCATCCATCCATCCATCCATCCATCCATCCATCCATCCATCCATCCATCCATCCATCCATCCATCCATCCATCCATCCATCCATCCATCCATCCATCCATCCATCCATCCTTCCTTTTCCATCCTTCCTTTTCCATCCATCCATCCATCCATCCATCCATCCATCCATCCATCCATCCATCCTATCAGAAATCCTGGCCAGGCACAGTGGAGAAGGCTTCTGAGAGTTTTACTCCAAGAATATCTGGGGACCCAAGGTTGGGAACGACTGCCCTAAATCATGCTAAACAAGGGTCGCTTTGAGGTGCTGCCTGTCACATGAGGTGACCCCTGCAGAACCCCTACAGGCAAGGAATGACCACACGGCAGCTCTCGTGACCCTGTTCAGCATGATCTAGACGGATCTTTGGGAGAAGGAAGCCTCTCCTTTCTGAAAATCGATAAGCGGCTTGCTGGCTATCCCTCGGGTGAAGCCGCAAAATAGTCTCGAGAAATGGAAAACTCCCTTTGCGCTTGTCTTTGGAGGAGAAAGGAAAGGAACCTTTGCATTTCTTTCAGTTGTTACTTGACCTACTGGGGATGTTTTGAAAGGGTTCTCTTTTTACAGCTTTTCCAAAGCATCTCTGATGCACCGTGTCAGTTAGCAAGAATGAAAAATAAAGGGTGTATACTCATTGTTTTTAGCTTTAAATGTTGTCTTTCAATTATGTAAGCCCCTTTGGGTTCTTTTTTAAGGACAAAGGCAGGGTAAAAATATTTTAAGTAAATAAAATAAGGAAATGGAAAGCCTTGTTTCTCTTTGCCTTTAAATGAAGGGAAACAAGAAGTTCTGTTACTTTGGAGCGGAAGCAAGAGAAAGAAAAAGCTTCCCCTTTCTTTTTCGCTGGTGCGGACACAGTGCATCAGCAATGCTTTAAAAAAAAACACAACAACACACCCCACCTTTTCACAGAATTGTTGATCCCTTAGCCAAAATTAAAAAGAAATGGAAAAAGGTGAACAGAATGGACACCTTCCATTTCAAAAAGATCATGGAAGTCATTTCAGCAAAGAGACAGCCACGCGGGCACTTTGGTTCGATCCCAGCAATCACACCTGTTGGAATCAAACCAAACAGAGCAAGCCAACCTGCACCAAAAAACAAAACACACACAAAAAAACCCAACACACACAGGAGTCCCGGACAGGAGCCCAAAAAACAAAGGTTCAGGTTGGCATCAGTAAGCAAGAGACTGATTTGCAACAGTGCGCACGTTGTGTGGTCAGCAGGAGAAGGAGCAAACCAGCCCATTCCCAAAACTGAAGCAAAATACGGGGCAAACGTGCAAATCCTATCACACCCGGAGATAAGAGCTCAGAAGCAGACTGAGGATGCTGGGCCCCTTTGGATGGTCCAGGGACCATTTCCCCCCACACGCTCTGTTTCACCTGCAAACCCTGGCAGTCTCTCCTGGCAAAGCTGGAAGTGGCTGCCGATTTCCCGAAAACCTTCTCTTCGGCTGCTTTAGAATGGAACCTTCCCCTGCAGCTTGTTTTAGAGAAGACCCCCCGGCCCGTGGAGGGTCGTCGAGGTGTAATTCTCCTGTTTTTTGTGTGTGCTTTTCAAAATGACTTAGCAATTTTTTAATGAATTAATTTAATTTAATTTATTTGTTTCATATAGGATCACCCCGCCTTTCTCCTTAAAAGGCCTCGACCCTTAATGGACATTATTTAAAAGCTGAAAGCAGCGGAGTGCACAATTAAAAAAAAAAAAATTAAACAAGCATTGCATTCCGAGAAAGGCTTTGGGGCAAAAATGACACTTCTCGGGCCCGTGTGCGGGTGGTACGGTTCCCACCCTTGCCAAAAATGGTGGTGGTGGGGATCATCCTTCTTTCGACTGAATCACATACTTCCACCCACCCACCCAGCAGCCCCTTTACCGTCTCTTGCTGGGGATAAAGCCGATCTCGTCGCTGTCGCCGTCCGGGTGGACGCGCCGCGCTTGCCACCACTCCTCGTCGGACGCATCGATGACGTGCAGGACGTCGCCGAAATGGAAGCTCAGTGCTTGGCTCAGGAAGCCGCAGTCCTTGGTCTTGTCGTAATCAAAGAGCGCCCTGCGTGGGGAGGAAGAGGGGGGGTCACAGCAGGGCCCCCTTCCCTGGTTGACGTGGGCCGAGCCACCCCCACCTCACCCCCAGCACCGCTGACAACGGGCTTCCTTTCTTAGCCCTAAAGGTTCAGATACACCCTTGAGCAAAGCGGTTGGTTCCCGGAGAGCGGGGGCTCTCCAGAGGTGTTGGCTGTGCACTTATGGGAGTTGTAGTTCCACCGCCTCTGGAAAGCACTGGTGTGGGGCAGGCTGGAGGAGGAGCCCACCGGATGCTTCTCGAACGGGGAAATCCCTTGTAAACACAGAGGAATAAGTGGTGCACGGGGAAGATGAACTCACTGGGACGCCTGGGGATGGACTACAAATTCAATCGTCCCCTTAATTTTCGCTGCATTTTTTTTCAAAAGACAAGACATGGACCAGAGTAACGATCAGGAAGCAATTGGTCATTTAGAAAGATGACAAGTCTAGCCGATGGGCTAAATTCAGGCAAGGTTCAATCCTCTATATGTTGCCGGACTGCAAAACCCAGCGTTCTTCACCAGTCACTAGGTCTGATGGGAACTGTAATCCCAGCAACATTTAAAGAGGCACACCTGACACACGAAGGCCTGGCCTGTACGTTTCAGGTTAAGAAACAAGATTTTTTTTAAAAAAAGGTTGGTGTACATTAAAACACTCAGCGATGTCTATGGAAGGAGGTTTATTATCCTTGGAGGTCTGCAGGTTTGTGCTGCAGTCAACGACTCTCCTCACAACCCGAGTTTGATCCCAATGGGGTCGAGCAGCCGGCCCACGGTTGACTCCATCCTCCATCCTTCCAAGATTGGTAAGCTGAGGACCCAGTTTGCTGGGGGAGCTACGTGTGGCCTGCGTAATTAAACTGCAAATCGCCCAGAGAGAGCTTCAAGTGCTATGGGGCAGTAGATAAGTAGCCCACGTTGCTTTGTTTTGCTTGTTTCCAGACTACAACTGAAACAAGAGATAGTGCTGGAAGATGAGACCCTCGGGGCAGGGGAAAGCAAGGAACATTTTATAGAGCACTCCTTCGTAGGGCTGCCAGAAGTCAGAGATGAACAACAATGGAAATAAGGTGTCCAGAGGGGCATTGGGTGGCTGCCCCCCGGCACATGGCCTGCCCCCTGCCCAACCCATCCTAGTGGACAAAGGCAGGTGGGCAACCTCTTTGGGGAGAAGGCAGCGGTGATCTCACCGGATGTAGAATCCTCTCTTGGGATTACTCCGCAGTGAAGCCGTCCCTGAGCCCAAACTGCTGTTCATCAGCTGTTCCCGGAGGTCGTGGATCTTGGCCTCGAAGCGGCTGTACTCTGCACGGTGAGGCGAAGAGGAAGAGGAGGAGAGGCGGATCATGGCCACTCTGTTTCCCTCCCTGAATCACACACCCCATTCATGAAGCCCCCCAAAACATCATTTCCCTCTCATCCCTCTCTCAATTCCCTCTCAATGCCCATCACTTCCCTCTCATCCCTCAATTATACAAGCCCCGGAGAATCTCACTCGCTCCACCCCCAACCAGCCAGCCCCATTCCTCTAGGGCAGTGGTTCCCAACTATCGGGGAAACCCCCCCCCCCAGGTGTTCTTGGACTGCAACGCCCAGAGGCTGTGCTGGCTGGGGATTCTGGGAGTTGCAACCCAAGAGCCTCCCAGGGCCCCAGGTTGGGAACGATGGATCGAGAACCCACATTTTCCTCCCTGGCAGGAACCCCCAGACACCCACCCCTCTTTCCCTCGTCCCTCTCGGGCAGAATCATCCCCTTCTCCCCCTTATCCTTCCCCCACCAAAGAACTCCGTTGTCGGCTCTTTCTCAAGGAGCGTTTTCGGCTTCCCCTCGGGAAACCCGCCCGTCTCCCCACATGTGGAGGAGCCCAGCTCTCTGCTCTTTCCCGCCCCACGGCCTCACCAGTTCAGGCTGGTTTCTGGCTCCCCCTCACCCCCCCCCTGCCCATCCGAAACGCCCTCTAGTTCCCCCACAGAACTGAGACCGGGAGCCAGGGCTACACGGTGGTTAGTTGGCACACCCGCCGAGGACTCTAGAGACCCGAGTTCAAATCCCCCATTTTGGCTGTGAAACTAACTCGGGTTCTCTCCAGCCTGACCGACCTCAAAGCGTCGCTGAGAGCAGACAGTTTGGAGAAAAAGATCTCATTCTTTCCCTCGAGTGGGTGACAGGGAAGAGGGAAGAGAAACGGAACCAATAAATAAATCAAGACTCTGCCCGTCTGTAAACTAAGGGCTTCCTGACGCCCTAGGCATGAACTGCTATGGAATGGGTGTTGTATTTTCTTTTTCCTTCTCTGTTACTGATACTTCTCTTCCGTCTCTCCTGCGCTTGGCTCGCCTCCTCCTCCTCTTCTCCTCCTTAGGAGGGACAAATTTCTTCAAAGTCCCCCACGGATTCCCCAGTCAGTCCCAGTCTGATTATTGCAACACCAAGGCCACCGTGGACCGTTCCCTTCCAAGCCTGGGAATACCAACCAAGTGTGGGATTTCCCGTATGCAATCCCAATCCCTCTTCATCTGGCTAAATTCCTTTCTTCCTTTCTTTCAGGGAAGGCAAAATCCCTCAGCCAGCCCCTCCCTCACGCCTCTCCGCCCACGGGCACGCACCCTCCGGCTTATACTGTGCAATGATGGTGACCGTCTGCCCGGCGTTCTTCAGCGCAATGGCCGCTTGCTCGTGTGTCGCGTTCCTAAGATCCACACCATTGACCTGGAAAGGGAGGCGAGCATGGTAACGTTAGAGTAGGACTCCCATATCTGCATGGGACTGGCTCCAAGGCCCTCCCCCCCCCATGGATACTGAAAACCGTGGGTAGCAAATGCTATAAACAGCATGGTAAAAGGGGTGGGGGGGAATAATGTTCACATGCATTACCAGGACGTGCCACTAGAAGGCACCAAACAAGAATACAGTACATATCACAGTCTCTAGCGCTCCTCCCAGTGGCCAGTTCCAGTAATACATGTGAAAATAATTTTTCCTGAAGTTTTTTCTTTTAATAATTTCAGACCACAGATAAATGAATCCACAGATACTGATTGCAGAGATTAATAATTTCAGACCACAGATAAGTGAATCCACAGATACTGACTGCACAGACCTGAGAGTCCTACTGTATTCACACAGCCCGGCAAAGCGCAGGCAAGTGATTGGCAGGGATGAGAGAAAGGCACCTACCGAGAGGATCTGGTCTCCCTTCCGGAGTTCTCCACTGAGGTCAGCCGGTCCCCCGGCCAGGATGAAGGAAATGAAGATCCCTTCCCCATCTTCGCCCCCCACGATGTTGAAGCCCAGCCCTGTGGAGCCGCGGTGAATGACGATCCGGCGTGGTTCCCTGGACACAGAGAGAAGAGGAGACAGACAGAAAGAGAAACTGAGGAGGAGCCGGACTAGAATTCGTTAGAACAAAGGACAATAATAATAGCAATTGCTGTTTTCAATGATATAGCGCTCCGAGCGCTCTCTCTCGAGTGGTTCGCAACATCATCATGCAAACAAAATGTTGCTCCCCCGTGAGCTGGGTGCTCGGTTTAACGACCTCAGAAGGACGGACGGCTGAGTCAAACTTGAGCCAGCTACCTGAGCCCACGAGGATACAACTGCACGCTGCCGAGCCAGTTCTGACCTACGGCAACCCTTTCTTGCGTTTTTCAGGTAGAAAATACTCAGAAGCCATTTGCCGTTCCCTTTTCTGGGGAGACTGTGGGACCGTACAGCTTGACTGTGGGACCACACAGGCTGGTTCTTCTGAGAGGCAGAGTTGGAGGAACCGAAGCCCCCACCCTCTACCGGACTCACTGAGTTGCAGATAATGCATCTTTTAGGAGAAACGTATCTTTTGAATGTGCCTTAAATGCATCTTCCACCATGTCAAAAAAAAACCCCCAAACTTCAGCCATGCTTTGCACCTTGTTATTTAAAATATAAAATCAGGGCCTGGGGGTGGGAGTGATAACGGAATTTAGACAGGAGTAAAGGGAAGAGAGGGAAGAAGACTCACATACCCTTCATCCGCTGAGGGAGAGAAACAGCAAGAGCAATACAGGCCAGAAGATGGAGAGAGCATTTGATGGGGCCAATTGAACAGGAACAGAGAGGGCAGCCGGGAGGAGATGCTGCGGCGCCCAGAGGGGAGGAGCAAGCTGGGCCGGAGGGGCGGAGCTTACCTGGGTATGTCCTCCTCCCCCATCAGCTCCTTCGGGATGGGAGAGTACCTCCGTGGGGAGGTGGGGGTCATGGCTTGGGGGTACTCGCTGCCCAGGTAGCTCTGGTGACCAATTTCGTTGTCCAGGTGTTGGGAGTAAGCTGCCAAAGAAAGAGATGAAAAGGAACGGATGAAACAGACAGGAGGGAACGTGCCCGGGAGCCCGGGCTGAACGGACATTTTGCACCGAGTTCGAAACGACGATCTACAATGGCAAGAGGCGAAACGGAGGAAGGCTCTCGCCGACGATTTCTTAGTCGTTGTGGAAGAGGTTTGTCGTTTCTTTTTTTAAAAAAGGGAAACGGTGTCCTCGTCCATCGGGCAAAATCGAAAGAGATAAAAGAAAACAAAGGCAAAAACACGTGGACCCTTAAAGACTAACTACTCTTAACAGGGCCCTTTTAATCACCCTCTAAAAGTAACCCCAGACTGACAGTAGCTGTAACAGTGAACACAGGACTATAAAATTCAGAAATGTGTTTCAACACTGCATTCATGCTGGAATAATCTGGTTCTAACTGGGTTTTAAGATCCTCAAGGGAAGACCTTCTTTCAGTCCCACCACCTTCGCAGGTGCATCTGGTGGGACCCGGGAGAGGGCCTTTTCCGTGGCTGCTGCTTTAGACTCTGGAACTCCCTCCCACTGGAGGCCAGCCTGGTCCCATCTTTGCTGTCCTTCCGCAACCAGATAAAAGACCGTTCTCTTAGTGAATAATCGTCCAGAAGAGGTTTTAAAACGAGGTGGTTTGCCTTTTGCTGCTTCCAGCTCATTTAGTAACACTTTTAACCTAACCATTTAAATATAATCTTACTCATTCTTTTAAAATATTGGCATAATTCATGGTTTCAGCTTTAATACTGCCTTTTCATGACGTAAGCTGCCCTGGGTCCTTTTTAAGGAGAAAAAGAAAGGGCAAAATATATATATATATATTTAAAATCAATGAAATAAATTCTAGACTCTCCTCTCCCACCCCAAAATGCATGTGTGGCTCCAGTTTGTGTGTGTGTGTGTTTTTAATCCTCCTTTTCAGGATTTCTACCACTCTCAAGCTGATGAGCATGGATCCACGCATGCCCTGGGGCAGAAGGATGAGTCAGGAACCCCTCACTCACAGGAAGTGATGTCGGGCGGGGCGTATGAATCGTTCAGGTAGACATTGGTGGGCTTGGCCACCTTCAGGTAGACCACGTCATACGTGTTCTTCAAGGCCGCCACGGCGTCTTCGTGCATGACGTCTTCTAAACTCACGTTGTTCACCTAGAGGAAGAAACGAGAGACGACTTTCGTACATTTCTGGTCAGCTCTGCGGTTTAAGCATCTGGTATCGGAGCCAGAGGGGCTGGGCTGGATGATCCCACAGGGTCCCTTCCAGCTCCATCGTTCTAATAGCGTTCTATTATCACAGGGCTGCTTCATCCAGAGAGTTGGCAGCAAACAACCCCGCAGATGAGCCACGGATTGGAACCCCCCACCCTCCAAACCACCCCGCGTCACCAACCGCTCCCTATAGGAAGGGAAGCAGATCTGGGAGTCAAATCTTCCCAGCCGACGGCTCGAGCGTGCGAATAAACACAGGCAAAAAAATATCGAAGCGGTGTCTGTCCTACACCCTCAGCCAGGATTCTCTGCAAAAAACATCGATGCTGGAGAAAGCAGGAGGCAGCAGGAAAAGAGGGAGATACGAGATAGGTTGACTCCCTGAAAGAAGCCCCAGGCTCGAATTTACAAGGGCTGGAACAGGGCTGTTAAAGATAGGACATTCTGGGGGATCGGTCCTTCGTAGGTAAGCTATCTCTGACCATCCAGATGTTCTTCTGCTACAAAGGCAATCAGCCCCGGGTAGCCTGGCCGACAGGGAGGGGTTATGGGAGTGGCAGTGCCGGAACCACTCAGCAAGACATCATCCCCTTGCATTGATCCGAGTTCCATTAATGTATTTTATCAGGGACGGATACAGTCTTGGTTCAACAACAACAACAACAAAAAAACCAGCAGATTTTTCTAAGATATAAATCAGTCGATCTCAAGCCAGAGAAGCTGTTTGGCTGTCCTGGATTACACCTCCCAGCATCCCCAGCCCGTATAGCTGTTGGCTGTGGGATGAGAGGAGTTGTAATTCGACACAACTGGAGAGAGCCAGCTTCTTTCGGTAGAAAGGAAATCACCCCTCGGATGCTACCAGTGGGGTTTGGTAGACTGGCTCCGTTAATGCTGTGGGGCAGAAGGAGGGGAAACTTCAAGGGGTCTATGATCCGAACAGGCCAAACCTGAATCTTGGAGACCTACATCCATCCCTAACCCTACTCAACCCCAAAATATTTTTCTTTAAAAAAAATTAAAGCAAACAAAAAACACCTCTCTACCACCATCTGGTGTCGAAAAAAAATATTGCAATTTTTGGAGGATGACTTTGGCCAACATTGCTTCCCATGTTCTCTCTAGAAAACACAAGGGAACTTTCCAAGCCAATTAAAAAAGCTGGAGGGCGTTAAGGCCTGGGGGAGGGCTGCTTTTGGGGCCCACGTGCTATCGTTGAAGGAGAGAGATCCACCATAAATATAATCCCAGCAGGATGAAGAATTTCACTGAGACCCAAAAAACTGGGACAGCTAAATGTTTACGGCGCAGAACGAACCTGACACATGGGATTGCCGAGAATAACTCGGACTCAAAGTCAAAATGAAGATCCAACCTAGTTGTCAGCTTTTGGAGCTGCTGTGAACTCTCTGTGCATCGTTCCAACCGAAATTCGCATTTGCCAGGATCCCAGTTACCCAGACTTCGGAGTTCATGTCACGAACCAAAGATTGGCAGATTTTACTTTGGCGCCGTGCTAGAATGAGGCTGTTTGGCTTAAGTAACTTGCCGGGTCCTGACCTAAGTACATATTTTTATATGCCTAAATGAAATCTCACAATACAGGGCAGGGGATAAACATCGTAAATAAAAAACAAATACAATAAAAAATTTACAAAAGCCTACTGTGATTCCCCCCCTTTTTTTTACAGTTTTCCTTTTTAATTTATTTTACTGTTTCAATATTACATTTTCCTATACAGTGGTGCCTTGCTAGACAGTTACCCCGCACGACAGTTTTTTCGCTAGACACTGACTTTTTGCGATCGCTATAGCGATTCGCAAAACAGTGATTCCTATGGGGGAATTTCGCTGGACAATGTTTGGTCCCTGCTTCGCAAACCAATTTTTGCTAGATGACGATTTTGACAGCTCCCTCTGCGCTTGTAAAACGGGTGTTTTCGGGACCTAAGCTTCGCAAGACAGTGATTTAAACAGCTGATCGGCAGTTTGCAAAGTGGCTTTCCTATGGCCGGTCTTCGCTAGACAGCGATGATTCTTCCCCACTGGAACACATTAAACAGCTTTCAATACATTCCAATGGGAAAGTGCTTTTTGCTAGACGATTTCGCTAAACAGCAATTTCAGTGGAACAGATTATCATCGTCTAGTGAGGCACCACTGTATGTTTCATTGCACTGCCATTTGGGGTGTCTTCCCATCTTACAGAACCTTAGTTTTTGACACGCTCGTCCTTAATAGGTGTTCCGCACCGGCCTCCGTCCATGACCCGATGGACCCATTTCGACCTCTGCTCCCTTTCTGGTCACACACACACACAGCCTGGCCCGACAGTCCATCATCCACAGCCTCGGGTCAGTTCCACCCATCCTTACCGCCAGGATCTTGTCTCCAATCTGCAGCCGCCCATCCTTGTGGGCTGCACCCCCCTCGATGATTTTGGTGACGTAGATACTGTTGTCCCCGGGGATGTGCTGGTTGCCGACGCCGCCCGCGATGCTGAAGCCCAGACCTGGAGGAGGAAGATGGAAAGACGGAAATCACGAGAGAATCTTGAAGGTGGAAAGCGGAAGGGCGGAGCCTTGGGAAGAGGGTGGGGCTTATTCTCCAGTGGGAGGGGTTTACAAAGGGACGGTATTCCCTCCCCATGAAGGAGGGAGGGAGGGCTTGCCAGAAGGAGGGGGCCAGTCAAGTGAGGTGGGTTTTCTCCATGATAACAGGCATAGCCGAGGGATAATATTTTGGACTACAACTGCCAGAATCCACCAGCCAGCACTGGCTGGTAGTCATGCTGAGGGGATTCTGGGTAGGGTATTTAAAAAAAAAGAGGAAGGTTTCCAAGCTCTGTCGGTTAATAGTGGGGTTTTCCTAGAGAAGAATTCTCTTTAAGAGCATAAAGATTTAAAAATAACTCTGTGCTCGATCAGGTTAGTCCTGTAAAAAGCATCTTTCTCTGTCTATTCCTGGCACGTAGGATTCAGGGGTACACAATTCCTCTACATGGAGTCAGAGGCAGGATGGAGCCAGACGGGAGATGGCTAGGCCTCAGGAGGATCCGTGAAAGTAGTCTAGTTCTTTTACCAAAAAGAGGTAAAACCTCCCTAATTTGGGGCCATCCAGATGTGCTAAGCATATTGCCACTGTTACTGGCTGGGGGGGTGATGGGTGTTGTAGTCCAGCACACCTGGAGGACCCAGGATGGTGGAGGTGTTGAGGCTGAGAGCTTCCAGTGCAGTTTCTCGGAAATCACTCAAGCGCGCGCGCACACGCTCCCACCTTTGGGGCCCTTGATGAGCTTGATCTCCATCATCTTCTCGGCCAGAGGTTTCCTGCGCATGACGTAGAGACGCACGATGGAGCCGGCCTCCTTCAACGCCTCCACGGCCGTGCTGTGCGTCACCTCCCTCACGTCCACGTCGTTCACGAAGAGGATGCTGTCGTTCACCCTGCCGCGGAAGGTAGATCAGAGAAGACCTTCTTAGCCTCAGGTGGGCTAAAGCCGGGGGTTTGGGGCATGGAAGGCAGGCAGGCAAGGGGAACTACAGAAAAAGGAGCCCACCTCTGCTAGCTCACCGTAGTCCTCTGCTTGTGGGGACTAAGGGTCCCTGATACCCTAGAAAATTAATTCCCTGGCCCTATTAGTTAAACTCTTGCTCCCTAGCAAAATACCAAGAAGCTGCCCAATCAGTCACTCAACCAACCAACCAACCAACCAACCAACCAACCAACCAACCAACCAACCAACCAACCAACCAACCAACCAACCAACCAACCAACCAACCAACCAACCAACCAACCAACCAACCAACCAACCAACCAACCAACCAACCAACCAACCAACCAACCAACCAACCAACCAACCAACCAACCAACCAACCAACCAACCAACCAACCAACCAACCAACCAACATTTCTGTATTGCCTTTCCTCGTGGGAGATCAAGGGGATATACATGGCTGTCCTCCTCTTCCCAGCTACCCTATAAGGCAGGCCAGGATGAAAGACAAGCATTGCCTCAGGGGGCATCAAATATGTTTCCTGGCTTATTGGAGATGACAGCTTGGATTTCCAAACTCGCAGCCCACAAGCCGGACAGCAGTTGGATCCCTAGGGATGGTTAGCATCAGCTGCCACCTGGTGACTGAAGATGGTATTGCAGGCTATAGAAACGTTAAAATCAATCAATTATATTTTGGAAACAAAATTATCCAGACTGCATCTACCCTAGCATCCCTAATTCTCAATTCTCAAGTTTTTTGCTGCGTAGGGCCTCCTTGTTTTGCAGTTATGTAAGGAAAGACACACATTGTCTATTATTATTGCTGTCCTTCATAGGTAAAATGATAATTACACTGTCAGAGATCTGGTTCTCCATAGTAGATTGTGAGGCTCTCAAGCAGAGAAAGGCATTTCCCGTAAGAACCTGCCTGTTCCGTTTAGACCGAGGTACCGAGAGGGACAGATCCTAAATCCTTCCACGTACAAAGCAGTTGCAAAACTAAAAAAGGTACACACTGAGGACCGGACCTGTCCTTCTGGCAAAGGGGAGGATCGCCATAGGCCCAGCTATCACCCCGTCCTGATTATTGCTCTCTCGCCACGGCCTTGGACTACAGATCCCATCAACCACTTGTGGCTGTGGGGAGTGATGGGAGATGTAGTCCGAAACATCCCGAGGGCGCCAGCTTGTCAGGAAGCTGCCTTACATTTAAAAAAAATCTTTTTAAAAAAAGCCTGTTACCTAAGCCTTCCGTCCTGAGCAGCAGCTCCCCCGGGAATGATTTTGGTAATGAAGATGCTGGGATCGTCCCCGACGTGGGGGTTGTCAGTGCCGCCGGCGATACTGAACCCCAAACCGGAGTTACCCTGGAAGAGAAAAAGAGCCCCATCCCGCCCCACCGAAACAAGAGAAGTTGAATCGCGGCAGAAACCTCAATGCAAACCTTGTTTTTGGCATCGGGGGACCCCCATTCCTCCCTCCCACCTCCTGCTCCCTGGATCCCCAGATCCGGGACCTACCCGTTCTAGTGTTATCTCCTCGTATTCGCGCGCACCTTCCGTTCCATTTACCTGCCAAGAGAGAGAGAGAGAGAGAAGGGGAGAGGGGAAACCGTCGGTACTAGGGTCTTCGTAAAGACGGAGCAACTCCAGACGTGATTTAGGGAGAAAATTGAAACGAGGATCGTGTGCCGGGAAGGGAAGCAAAAGAGGATATGCAGAGAGAAAGGAACTCACATAAGCTGGTGCTTCTAAGGTATCTGTGTTGACGATTACCGGTGGGGAATTAGCCTAGGGAAAAAAACACAGAGAGAGAGAGAGAGAGAGAGAGAGAGAGAGAATGATATGGCTAACCAAATCCCAAAGCAATCCCTCTTAACCATTACAAGGCCGATACCCCGCAGACAGAAAAACCTGACCCCAGGTGGGAAAAACAACAAGCGGCAGGTCCTTCCGAGCCTCTTCTTAGATGTCCTCCCAGGAAGGCAGAGGCTAAAGGCTTCACCCGTTCTCCGGCCCCCCATCCACACACACCCCCATGTTCTCATTGGAGGCTTTGCAACCACACCTCGAAGATGGCTGAGCCCGGAAGCTTCAGGGTAAAGCATGACAGGTCGGTATGGAGACCACTGAACCACACTGCCTATGGGGCAGAAATTCCCTCTGACAGGTACATACACACCACTGGGGTTCAGTTCTGTGGGGCTGGAACAGGACAATGTTCCTCCCAGAGCCCGCCAACACCACCACTTCAACCCCCCCCCAGGGTTTGTATTCAACAGACCCTTTTTAAAAATCCCATCACTTTCTTAGCCTAAAAAACTCTGCCCTCAAAGAAGGGCGGGCAGAAGGTAAATCTGAGCTGAGCCAGGCAATTTCCGGGTCCTCTGAAGCAGAAGGGGGGAAAAAAAGGGTCCAGTCCCCAGATATAATGCCAGTCTTGATGGAGTGATTTCCGATGTCGCCTTGAAGAGGCCATCAAAATGAAGAAATCTTGGGATGGATCCAGAAGAGCTTTTTCAAGGGGCTTTCAAGAGAGCTCCAGTCCATTCTGGTGCTCAGAAAAAAAATTCTGGGCCAATAATTTTTCAATTCTAAAGGTATATATTTGCACCAGTCTTGGCTTGCTTAGGGTGCGTAGTCCCAGAGGATGGATTAGGGGGTCTTCTTCATGGAAACCCCAAATCCCCTGTACGGGACAGTTGACCCCACTCCCCATAACAGGATGGAAGGTCGAGCGCCTCCCTTGATCCCCGAACCTTATTTCTCTGGCACTTGATCCACCTGAGAATTCACAGATAGGGCAGGACAAGGGGGGGGGGGCTAAGAGTTTTTTCCCCTGGTTTTAAAAGCATCGAAGGGGAGATGATATGGGGTGAAATTGAGGTCACAGTATATATTTGCACCAGTCTTGGCTTGCTTAGGGTGCGTAGTCCCAGAGGATGGATTAGGGGGTCTTCTTCATGGAAACCCCAAATCCCCTGTACGGGACAGTTGACCCCACTCCCCATAACAGGATGGAAGGTCGAGCGCCTCCCTTGATCCCCGAACCTTATTTCTCTGGCACTTGATTCACCTGAGAATTCACAGATAGGACAGGACAAAGGGGTGGTGGTGGTAAGAGGTTTTTTTCCCTGCTTTTAAAATCATCCCCAGGGAGATGGTATGGGGTGAAATTGAGGTCACCGGAAGAGTGACCAAGAGGACATCCCAAATTTGCAAGCAGTGATACAGAAATATGATCTTAGGGGGCAGCCCACTTTGCTTCCAGGTGGAACTCCAAAATCTTCCCCATTTCACAGGTGTTAAAACAGAGGTTTCGCGTCCAAGGAAGGCTGAACCCAGCTTCGCACCCCATCTCGATTTTCATTCTCTCCCCCCCATTATTGTTCTTCCACCTCCTCCATCCGCCGACGATGGTAACCACAGCAACACCATGGAAACAACATCTGCCTGGGATGGGGGGGCGCAAGGTTACTGTGACAACCATCGTTCAAGAGACTCTGGGGTGGAGGCAGCCCCCCCCCCCGCCCCTCGCGGAACCCGGTCCCTTTGGGACAAATGGGGGGGGAAGAGAGAGGAAAGGGTCCAGGGGTGCGCGCGGAGAGGCAAAATTATTTGGGAACTAGAGTGCCAGGTGTAGACAGAAAGCAAAGAGGAGAGCCGATTTGGAGGTGGGGAAGAAAAGGTTGATTTATGTCAACCCTCTTGGCACACTCCGGATGGGTCAGACTACAAACCCCATCACCTCCCAGGATGATGGGGTTGCAGTCCCACCTGTCCAGAGACTAGCAGGTTGGTGAAGGAGGTGCTGTAGCCACAGAACGATCTATTCAGCCAAGGTAATGGTCCATATACTTCTACGAATACCGGGGCTTCCTCCCCAACTTTACCCAAAAGGACTCCAGAAGGGGCCCCTCCAACCGTTACCCCAAAGGAGGAACAGAAAGGGAACCATAAAATCCTGTTCCAAACTGAGCCGCCAGACCCCGCTGCCGGGGGGAGGGGGGGCTGCCAATCAACACAGCAGTCTTCAGGGTGCCACACGATTCTTTGTCTCCCTTTGTCGCCACAGGGTGAACAGGGCTCCTGCCTTCTCCCTTAAGGTCTCACTTCTCCGAAAGTAGCAGGGAAAGGTGCAACCGGATCGGATGCAAATCTTAAGCAAGACTCACAGAAGCACGCCATTGGAAGGGGCCTCTAAGGTCATCCAGTCCACCTCCTGGGCTCCAAGCCAAAACAGATCTGAGCGATGGTTGCCTAATTCTATTCGCTGACCAGCCACCTCGTTTCCCAACCCCGTTCCCCCGATACAGAGGTCAGGAGAAGCTCCGAAACTTCCATTGTTAGACTACAATCCCCATGTTGCGCCCTGGGGGCTTCTGGGCATGACCGTCGGGGAAAAAAGCAATTCCCCAAATTCTCAGATAGACTGTTGCCATCCCTGGAGGATGCACATGGCTATCCTTTCTTGACCAGCCCTAGCCTCAAATTCCAGGGGGGAAAAAGCCGTCTGGCTGAACAGTGCCTGCAAAATCTTTTCCAAGGCTTCTTAAGGTTGCTTTAGGATTTATTTCACTCCAGGCTGGGAGCTGGATTTCCAAAATAAAACCAAACCCACCCACCCAGTCCTAAGAAGCTGCGCTTGACATGGCCTACCGTTGTATTTCAGAATGAGCCTCGCTTTCTCCAGCAGGCCCGTTTCCACCTGTCTCAATCCTAAAACACTTGGTGATGCAAACCTCCAGTTTTCCTGAATACAGATGTGGTTGGGAAAAGGAAGAGCATCCTGCCATTCAGAGTCTGTTCCCTGCTCCCTGGCCTTGCCAAGGATCTATTTAAATTCTGTTCCTCCCCCCCCCACACACACACACCTCCCTGTGGGTCCCATCTGTTCTGAAACAGCCTGAAATATTAACTCAGCCGTGCAAAAGGCAGGCAGGACGGATCTAAGGAAACTGAACAGGAGAGGGGGGGGGAACGAGAAATAGGAAGGTGCAAACACTTCCCCTCCTGGAACCTGGAGCCTTCTCCCCCCCGAACCCCAAACTCCCAGGGAAGCCCCTCAGGTCATGAAACAGAGACATGCCCCCCTCCCCACCTTTTTCTCCTGCCCCCTTCGACTAGCTCAGGGGTCGCCTGCCAGCCTTCTCCGGCACGCTCGACTGCCACCGGATTTCCCTGGCAACGTCAGAAGCTTGGCCTCTCCTCTGCAAATTTTCATGACCGCCGTGCTCGGGCAGAAGAGTGCCAGCAAGGGACCCTGGCAAAAGGACACGCTCCGGGCGCATGCACGCCCTTCCCTCGTCTGCCACCCTCACGGCCAGGGCTGCCAAGCAATGGAGGAGTAGGAGGGCTGGAAAAGGCACCCGGGCACTTTGGCCAGGAGGGGACGGGAAGGGTAGAGGAGAACAGAGGAGCCAGGCATCCTGGCGCTCAACCACCCACCTGATTTTTCCAGAGAAGCAAAGCCTGGCTCCTTCCATTGCCTAGCAAAGAGTTTCCTCTCCGTCCTCCCTTCCTTCCTGGCTAAGGGACCCAGGAGTCCTGGCCACTGGCTCGTTTGCAGCCTGACCTACTTCTGCCCCTCCACCCAAGACGAACCAGGATCCCTGCGTGCTTTTCCCCTTTGCCCACCGCGCCCAGATTCAAAGTCATCCGATGGCTCTGGAGAGAAGCCGGCCATCTTTGTTCCGGGCTCCACGCCTCCCCCCCCCCCGACAGAAGGGACAAAAATGGGCAATCAATTAATTTTTTTTAATTGGGTGGTGAGGCCTCTGGAAGTAGGAACAAGAGCCAAATGAGGCTGAGGGGGGGAGGAGGAGCGGCTGAAATTAACCCCTGGGGATGCACGCCTCTAGCAGCGGGTGAGCGGGCACATTAGAGCACAAGGGGGGGGAGGCTCTGAAGGCCAGGCGCAAGGAACGGGAGGTGGCCCAGGACGCCTGGGTCCCTCTGGGGAAAGGGGGGCAGCGCCAGGGGGTGGCAAGCCAGGCCCCAACTCTCGCCTCTCTCGGGGTTCGTGGCATTACAGGCAGCAGCGGGCACGCTCGGAGAAGGAGGGAGGGAGGGCTTGGCACACGGGGGCTCTGCCAGGTTAGCAGCTGTGTGTAGGTGGGTGGGCGGAGGCGGAAGGGAAGGGACTGTGTGGGAGCAGGTCTTTGCAAAGACAGGCCCGCCTGCGTGGCACCGGGTGATCTCCCCGCGCGTGTTCCTCTCCAAGCGGCATCCATGTGTTGGCATGAGAGGCAGAAAGAGACGGAGAGCGTGTTTTGGAAGGAACACTTTAGTGCCTGACTGCCTTCGGGCAGAGAACAGGGCAACCGGGCTAGACGGAGAGCGTGTTTTGGAAGGAACACTGCCTTCGGGCAGAGAATAGGGCAACCGGGCCGGTTTCATCGCCACAGGCTCCATCTGCACCCCGGGGAGAGCACGGCACACGTGACGTTCGGTGCAAACACGGCTGTGTGAGCGAGCAGCCTGCCTTCCCTCTCTCGTGACGCACGCGCAGCTCTGCAAGTGAGTTCGATCGCACCCGTCCGAAGGGCAGTGGGGCAATAACACCCTGTAAACGGGACACTCCTTCCGCACCCCTTAAAAGCTGCACTGATGTGGAATCAAAACCCACTCATTGTGGGAATCTCTGCGGGCTCTCTTCTCTCCAAAGAAGCAAGCTGCTAGTCCCTAATGATGTTATCTGTGGCCAGGTTGGCATTCGCTTTATAGAGCTTTGAAAGCTCTATATTTAAGGAGTAGTTCGGCCAGTGCCGGGACGGGGTAGCGCTGCGGGT